CTAGATCTGCCTGCAGACAAAATACTGTTCGGTGCAAAATTTGAGCATCATATCTTAATTGGTTTTGACTCTAACGTGATTGCAACAGACGGACGGACGTACAGGCCAAATCATCGTAGAGTTTTACGCTGATCTAGAATATACATACTTTGTGATGTTTAAAATTATTATTTCGATGAGTGACAAACGGAATGACGAACTTGGTGATGGTGGTTTAAGACAACCTAGTTTACTTTACGATCGTATGCAAATATACAACATTTAAATGAGACACATCTAAAATAAAATGTTCTCTATTGACATTTACATTTTCTCTTTTCCAAATACTCACACACAATTCCACCCAACTGCTGTGGTGAATTTTGCCGAGAGTGTTCAACACATAAAGAGCTTAGCCACCATGGTAGTTACCTGAATTCCATTGAAATCGTGGGCGTTATTTCCAGTGCAATTGCAGAGATAACAACAAACAGAGACAGAGATCGTAAACAAGGCACACACACACTCACACCAGTGAACAAATGCAGCACATATGGGAGTTATAAACAGCTACGTCGCTTCGTACACAAATGAACCCACCCATATTGTGCATACATGTACGTTTTGTTATTTTACACTTCTGGTATTTTTTGGGTATTTCAAAGCAGACACAAAGATCGGAAATATATCAAAGTATCGAATGTCAATATATGGGTTATTGCATGTTAATTATGATTGCCTACAGATTGAAAAACATATTGTTTGCAGAGAATTTATATTTTTATTACTCCCAAAATTAAGATTTGTTTAAAATAATTACAAATGTTTATAAATGTTTCACCACCAACATATATGCTTGTTTTCTTAACTACACATACTTACGTACTTGATAGATTTAGGTATATACGCTCAACTACCTGTGCGAAGAGCCAAGGTTCAATTTTTTTATTGTCATTGACCTTGAACGAAATTTAAAACAAAATATGTCTATTTCTTTTTACATTTCTTAAAATTGATGCTATGAAGTATTTTTCATAGAAAAAATTTAACCAGGGTTTAAAGAATAAAATTCTCAATTTACGATAAAAAAGATCAGAGCAAAGTAACATAAATGGGCTTTAATTCAAATTCATTTATCCTGAGAAGGGTTTTTAACCACTGATGACTTTAGTGAATAAATTCCATTGGATAAGTAGTTTTCTTAGAATTTATCGGTTTTTGTATACCTTCCACGATACCATGGAGGGTACATAAACTTTATCATTCTGTTTGTATATCCTCACAATAAGCATTTTATACCCAACAAAGTATAAACATAATATTGATCTGCATAAAATTCTATGTAGATGTGGCCATGTCCGTACTTCTGTCTATCTACGGAAATCTTCTAGCATCTACCCTACACAAATGAATTTTAAGTGCGAAAATTTTTTATCCTTTAAAAAAGATGAAAAAACTGCAACCAACTTCAGACTGCTGTCATTTCTAAGCCACTCGTCTGACAGCTGTTAAAATTATTCCAATGACAGGTCGTTATATTGTTTACAAGCGTATAAAAGCATTTCAGTGAAAATTTTCCACAATAAAAGTTATTCGTGATGGAATTCAGGCGTGATAGTGTAATTTTTTATATTTGGCTGGAAAAATACAAGTGGCTATAGTTAGAGCCTCCAGCATTTAAATGTGAATTAATGTGTCTCGTACCATCGCTCGTTACTGTGATACTGGTGCGTAGCCCGACGTCAAGAAAGTGGACCGAAGAAAACAGCAACATCAGCAGAAATGGTTCGAAAAGTAAAGAAGCGACATGATCGAAAACCGCTTCGCGGTGGCCGAAGAATGGCTCGTGAGCTGAATATATCGCAATATTCCATTCGGCAAATACTAGAAAATGAGCTCGGGGTAAAGCCATTGAAATTCCAAAAAGTGCAAGAACTTTCGCCGCAATAGAAACGAAATAGACTCAAAAGAGCTAAAGAGTTTGGTTTTTTCGATGAGAAAACATTCGTTGTCCAGCAGTTTGTAAACAAACAAAAAGATCGTGTTTACTTGCCAAAGAGGTCAGCTGAAAATCGGCACCATCTCCGGATAAACATCTGTTGGACTATTGTGTCTGGAATATTTTGGAAAGCAAGGTTGGCACTAAAAAAACCAAGGTGTCGATCACCTCAAGCAAGTGCTTCGCGGGGAATGGGCCAAAATACCGCAGAGCAATATTCGGGCAGCGTGTGACGGTTTCATTGGCCATAATTCGTGCCGAAGGTGACCAATTCGAACAAATCAAAACTTGTTCTAAAATTTGATGCTATTTCCGACATTTTTGGCGTTCATTCTATAAAAGTTAAAAAAAATTAATTTGATATTGTTGCAGTTTTTTAATCTCACCCAATAGATTCGCGATTTATCAAGGTCAATATAGGCCCAAAATGAGGCATAGACTTCATATAATTTAGCAGAGCTTGAGAGTATCTTACCACTACTATTACATATGTTGTGGACAAGGCTGATGTAGATCCATGTTTTCCTTTAGCTTTTGATATCACGTATTTTGAAAATTTTATCCACATTTGCTATTCAATTTTTTTAATTCGATATTTGTAGTTTGTAATGGTTCCTACCTCTGGTATTCGGTATTTTCAAGATTTTAGCCACATTTTCCCACGAAATAGTTTCAAAATAGGGTTTTTGAAATTCGCAATAAACCCCGTCTATGTGGGCGCCCAACTTATGACATTTTTAACAATTTGATTGCATTTTACTGCGAATTGAATCATGTTAAGCTTAGTTTAAATATTGCATGGAATGCCCTATATGCATGCATTGAAAATGCAACCCATACACACAGACTGTTATTAAAATAAGTACTCGTTTAAATGAGAGCGTTATCACTCAATGCACAAATCAAAACAAAGAGCGGGCCAAATATCAAATTCACCACACAGGCAGGGTTGCCATTTTTAGCAGGTTTTCGGCATTTTGACGATTTTTCGCTGTAAAAACGGGAAATGTCGATTTGCCGATTTTTCCTGCAAAAATGACGATATTTTAACGGTAAAAAAAATTGTCTCATATTTTTATTTAAGACGGCATTAAAGTTGCCAAGATAATTCTACAAAATCTAAACGAAACTAATAAAAAAATATTTTTTAAGTAAATTCTCAATGTTTTTAATAACACTTAGAAATTATTTTTTTAAATATTTTTAAAGATTTCCCCACTTATAAAAACTGAAGAAGTTTGAAGAAATTTTTTAAATAAATTTTAAAGTTTTTTTTGAAAAAAAAAAAAAAACAGATCCGATATAAAACCTTTTTTTACTCTGTATTTTCTAGTTTGTCTGAATTCGTAAAAAGGAACGATTTTTTTAGTTAGGTAAACCTTAACAAAAGTAGAAGTTGAAGCTCAATTGAGTAAGATTCATTGGAACGAATACTTTATTCCAAAAATTAATTCACTCCATTTGTTTCAATACCAAAATTGACAATGGTTTACTCAAAATGTGTAATAACAAGTAAACAAGCAGTAAGCTCGGTAGGTCCGAACTTTGAATACATCCACCAAATGTAAAGAATTGGGAAATTTTCAAAAAAAAAAAAAAAAAAACGTCAACAATTTTGATAAAATCTTAAGAATGCAGAATATTGTGCGTTACCGTTATATTAGCGTTCATATGAAAACGTGGATGAGCATAGGGAATCATAGCCATTACAGTATTCAAATACGAAACTTGAAAGAAATTCGATGAAAATTCTGTAAAAATAAAATACCGAATATAAGGAGTTACCGTTATATTGGGTTCTATACGGAGACGTGAACCTGCATAGGCAATTTTCTGGCACAGGCTGTATAACATATTACGAAGTGCAAATACGAAATTGGAAACAATTCCTGAGAATAATATATCTAAAATCATCAAAATACCAAATATAGCGAGGTACCGAAATTTATTGGCTATACGAAGACCTGGACCTGCATAGCTAATTTTCCATCACAAGCTCTAGTACCCGTTACGAACTGTAAATATGATATTTGAAAAAATTCTGGTCAGTAATGTCGCTAAAATCATCAAAATACCGAATATAGCGAGGTACAGTTATATGTGGGGCTATACCCAACCGTGGACCTATACAGCGACCAAAAGTCCTTCAGACGAAACACATTTGAGTAAAATTTTATCAACCTACACTTATTCGTTCGGATGCTACAGTGATTTCCACAGACGGTCAGATAGACGTCTGTCATCGGACGAACGTCATCGTTTAATCGACACAGAGTTTTATGCTGATCAAGATTATATATACTTTGTGGGGTCTAAAATGTATATTTCGAGGTGTTACAAGCGGAATTACAAACTTAATATATTAGATAATACCCTCCACACTTCGTATAGCCCCCATATAACGGTACCCCCTATATTCGGTATTTTGATGATTTTAGCTACATTATAAACAGATTTCTCTTTAAGTTTCGCATTTAAACATTGTAATAACTTATGACAAAAGTTGCCTATGCAGATTTACGTCGTCCTATAGGCATTCGGTATTTTTAAGATTTTAACTGAATTTTTAAAGGATTTTATTTATTTATTTTTTTTTTTTTTTTTGGAAATTGCCAAATTTGTACCAAATGGTGGAGGGTATTAAAAGTTCGCCCTGGCCGAACTTACAGCTTTTTACTTGTTTTAAGTTTTTTTATTATATTTTTTTTTTTTTTGTGATGCATAGTTGTGCTTATTTATTTTCCGTTTTTTATATGAAATAACAAACTTTAGTTTTGTTATAAACCAACTTGAATTTAATAATTTGCAAGTTGCCGATTTTTAAAAATTTAATTGAGTTTATGCCGATTTTTCTCAGAGAAAATTTACGTTTTTTCCGTAAAAATATGTTGGCAGCCCTAACTTCACCACACAGGAAGCAAACACAAGAGAGAGCAAGCGAGCGAGAGAGGGAGAGCGTACAACATCAAACAAAGTGAGCACTAACCAGCCAGACAATGCACACCATAGCAGCCTGGCTCATTTAACAAAAATCAGTTATTAAACGAAACACGAAAGTCACGGAATTCAGTTGAGTTGAACATCAACAGGTGTTAAAAACGTGTTAAGGATTGTGTCGGGCGATTTGGAAATAAATTTCAGAAGAGTAAAAAAATAAACCAAAAAGATTGAACAAAAGCCAGAAGCAGCAAAACGATCATTGAGAAAAAAAGAAATAAAAAAGTTTTTTTTTACAGAATTAAAGTTATAAAAATTGAAAACACAGTAAAGATTCTGAAACAAAAAATTAATAAATAAAAGGTGAAAAAATATAAATTCTAAAATCATTTTTATTTTGGTTGTCAAAACAGATTTTAGTGTGTAGTTTTTGTGAAAAGAAAAAAGTGTTTTTTTTTTTGTTTGTCATTGTACCCATTTTAAACCAAGGATTATTGTATTTCCAGCTCAAAGGATTTTACGCAAAGCAAATCAAACAACAATAACAACTACGCAAAAAGAAATTCATTTTCAAGGAATTTAAGGTGAGTTCAATACGCCATGAATAAAATCAATATTTACTTACATAAAGCCATACTGTGGAAATTTCACGTACCTCTACATACCAACCAACCTACCTACCTACCTATTTGTAGGTATTTTAAGAATATTTTATCTTGGTCCATTGTTGTTGTTGCTGCTGTTTACGTGTTTTTCACCTCGTTTGATGTCTACCTACCTATTTTTGTTGTTTCTGGCTTTTTGAACGAACGAACTAACAAACACAACGATCCATTCACTACCCATACCAATGTAAAGCAGTTGAATGAAAATACACCACACCTGGAATTCACCTTCCAGATCAAACAGAAATGCTTGGTAGTAGTCATCGTGTTTCATCAGCCATAGAGGTATTGTCAACTATTTGATTCTTTCTTACCTGTCGTTGTCGTCGTCGGCGGCCCCAAACCCCCAACAACACTAGAGTTGTCTCTTTTCGTTACCCATATTTTTGAGTACACCTTTGGGGGCCATCACTACCACAACTACTCACGTCAGAGGTATCGTCACATTTGTATTTTTCCGACCGTCTGGCGCTCATTTGCACTGATCGCAACTGAGAAACGAAACGAAAAAAACAACAACAGCCAACTATTTTGAAAATATAGATTGGGGTCTGGCGACGATGGTGGTGGTGTGGTGTCGGGTGGTAGAGTAACTGGTAACCACAATCTGGTTTATTTTACATACTCGATCGCTTGTTGTTCACCTCTAATGGCGACAAAAACAAATAAAACGGAAGGGTGAAGATAGACGGCTCGAGAAGGGGGGGGGGGGGGGGGGGGGGGGTGGAAGTTATACAAATTCCTTGCTAAATAATTTATGAAAAGAATTTACAAGAGTTGTGTTATTGTTTGTGATCGTGAACTTAAGATGAAAAGGGTTTTGGATTTATTTGGATTTATTTATGTAGTTGTTACTACAGTTTATTTTGAAGTTTTTATAGGGTTAATCTGGTTCCGAGTGCAAATTCCTCTGATTCCTAGGCGACTACTCCAGATCTTCCGAAGTGAGTTGCTCAGGTCTGACAAATAAATTCAATAGATCCAGTGAGGAGAGATGTTTTGTAGATATATTGTCATAAATTTGCTTCCATTATGCGTGAAACGGTTGTAAACCTAAATACTTGGAGAGCAACTACTCTGGTTTGTTCAGGCAGTCCAATTTTGTAGCTTAGATGGATAGAGAGATAGAGAGACTCCGAAGTTGTATCCATGCTGTGGGTATGCAGACCTTTTTTGATATTCCGGGTCAGTGGATTTTTGCGCCATGTGGCTGTCATTCTGCCGACGGTGGCACCCAATCAGGTACTGAGGAACATATTTGATGTTCTACAGGCAGAATAACAAACAAATAATTGGGACCTTATATAGATGGTTCACCAGTGTCAAATAGAGGCAGTACAATGACATCGTTCTGGCAAATTTGAAAACTTCAAACATTGGCCCCGGTATTGGATTCCAATGTTGGCATTGGTATTCATGATGTGGTTATGTAGAACATCTCCGGCACCCTTGGGATGTGGGTTTTTACACCATGTGGTAGGTCGAATGACCGCCCACGGTGGCGCCCAATCAATAATGGATGAACCGTCGACTCCCCATGTGGATGCTGCAATGGTGTTGTAAGTTCCGCTTTAGTTCTTAAGAAGGGTTCTCAATGGCTTAGCATATTCCACAAATAGACCCACATAAAGCATTATGAGACATTCAAATAATACAGCGTGGTGGACCAACACAGACATAGTAGTGGATGGGAGTGAAATTCGAAAACGGTGGCCTTGGGCACCCCTTTCTCAGTAGCAATTGTAAGGATGTTCTATAATCATGTTTGACGGATTCAATTATCCCCTCGGTGGCGCCCAATCAGGTACTGCACCGAAAACCTTCTCGTTTATGTAACACCAGTATTCGAGGATCATATTGGCGTCGCATTGAGACAGCTGTACCACTCCGAACGTATTTGAGTCAAAACTTGCCTGGTTTATCCAAGTGGCCGACGACCTATAATTAAATCCACACTGAAGGTCCCAGGCAGAATTTTTTTTGTCACCTTGGGGTGATCCCCACGCTGGCGCCCAACCAGGTACTGAAAACTAAAGAATGTATTTATGCTGATGTACTTGAAGAATCGTAGTCCTTTGCCGAATGTTTTTGCTCTCTCTCTTTTTCACTCACTCTCTCTGGTAAAATAGATAATTCCCTAGTGTAATATAGAGCTAAATCCTTGCATCAGCACTATTCTAATTCTTTAAGGCAAATAACGTTTGTAAACAAAATGAATTGCGATTGGATTCCTAAGAGGATATCCACACTCTTCCAGGCAAAACTGGAAAGATAAGTTCTTTACGCCATGTATGAAGTTAGTCGAACCCGGGTTGGCGCCCAATCATGAATTTCAACGAAAGCAACTAAACAGAACGTAGTTGAGCCTAAACCAGCCTGGTTTGTCAAGGAAGGCGAAGATCATTAGGTTTATACATACTGCGGTCAAGTAGGTCCCTTCTTGACACAATAAGGCATGATCCTCACAAAGGCGCCCAATCACATACCGAAAAATGAAGAATGTACTTGAAGAAACTTAGCCTTTTTATGTAGGAGGTCCATTTGTATTATAAGAATAAATGTTTTTGCTTTCTCTCTCTCTCTCTCTCTCTCTCTCTGGTAAAAAACATGTTTCTTCATGCAGATAGTTCACCGGTGTCATATAGAGGTAAATGCAGGGATCAAAATTACCCAAATTCGTTTAGACAAACAACATGAAAATGAATTGGGATTGGATTCCCAAGAGGATATCCAGACTCTTCCGGACAAAACTGGAGAGAGGAGATATTTACACCTTGTATTTGATTGGTTTTGGAAGACCTGTAGAGCTCTTTTTTTGTAGAAAGTTGAAAAAAGATTCTTCTCATAGAAAAGTTGTAGATGGTCTTCTCTTCATAGAAGAACTGTAGAGGGTATTCTATCCATAAAGGATCTGTAAAAAGTCTTATATCCATAGAAACTTTTTGAATTGTCTTCAAGCTGAAGACTTATATAGGCTATAGAATATATTTTTATCCATAAAAGAACTCTTAAAGCTCTTCCAGCAATGGAAGACACATTCCTCCTTTATCCAACGAAGAGCTAAAGAGGATATTCTAGCTACAAGCAACCTGAAAAAGTTTCTCTAGCTCTGGAAGTCCAGAAAAATGCTATTTGGCTATTAATGTTCTGTAAAATGACTCAAATGACTACAAAATGTTTTCTTCTTAAGAAGCTCTGTAGAATACCTTTTCTTTGGTTTAGGTTTTGCAGTCCGACGTACTAACTTTGTGCCGCCGCCATTCGTTACTTGATATGTTAAAAGTAAGCTATATATTAAGTTTGTCATTCCGTTTGTAACACCACGAAATATACATTTTAGACCCCACAAAGTATATATATTCTTGATCAGGATGAAATCCTATGTCGATTTAGCGATGTCCGTCCATCTGTCCGTCTATAACGGTACCCAACCCCTCCCCCCCCCTGATATTCGGTATTTTGATGATTTTAGCGACATTATTCACCGCAATTGTTTCAAATGTTGTGTTTGAAGTTCGTAATGGATACTATAGCCTAAGACAGAAAATGGTCAGTGCAGGTCAACGTATTCGCATATCCCCCATTTAACGGTAGCTGCCGATATTCGGTTTTTTGATGATTTTAGCGACATTATTCAGCGGAATTCTTTAAAATTTGGTGTTTGAAGTTCGAAATGGATACTACAGCTTATGACAGAAAATTGTCTGTGCAGGTCCACGTCTTCGTATAGCCCCAAAATAACGGTACTTCCTGTATTCGATATTTTGATGATTTTAGCTACGAATTTTTTATCCAAGTTTTGCATTTAAATATTGTAAGAGTTTATGGCAAAAGTTGCCTATGCAGGCCCACGTCGTCGTATAGACTCTAATATATCGGCTACATTCGGTACTTTTAACATTTTAATAGAATTTTTACGAAATTTATTTATTTATTTCTTTTTTACTGGAAAATCGTTCCAAATGGTGGAAGGGATTCAAAGATCGACCCGGCCGAACTTACAACTTTTTTTACTTGTTGCTTATAAGTTTTATGGGAGTAATCCGTTATTTTTTTGTTGTCATTACATGCAATTTTTGGAAGTGACCCCCATTTTTTTTATTTGGTTCCTATCTTTTCCAATTTTTCATGTGTGAGAGACTTTGAGCCCTTAAGTGTTTTCTTATGAAATAAGAGAGTTTTCTTTCGTCACTTCAACTTCTCTGTCAACATAGCTGTCAACACTTGGAAATTTTAATTATCTATCTTCAACAATTCCCACCACACATAACCCAATTGTCAATGACAGAAGGCTTCATTATTACTCCGTTGCTAAGTGTCAACAAAATTGTTTTTCAATAGAAAAATATTCTCTTCTCTCTACTTTGTTTGTTATTAATATTCAAGATATGAGCTGAGTTAAAAAAAATTATTTGTGCTGGGCTGTAGAATATCATTTGTTTGTCCCCCTTTTCCCCCGCATTGAAGAGGTTTCTTATTACTGATCTTAACGAAGTGATGGCTATAGTCTTCTCCAGTTCATACTTGTAAAGTCTGCAGGGAATAATGTTTATGAATATGAAAATGTATGTATGCCTGTGTGTGTGAGTTTTTTTGTTTGGCTAATACAAGACATTTTAGCCAGTTATTTGTACGTGATATACCAGCATTTTTGCTCAGCCACTACATACCAGTCCCTCAGACAGTTAAAAAACGGCCAGTCAACGATCTGCAATAACATATGACAGAGACATAGCTAAGAGAGCTTTAAGTGCAAGACAATAAAAACAAATACTCTGTATTAAAAATAAACTCTAATCAGATAATAAATGGAAGCAACTCTTCTAAACGCGGCGATCGTTCAAACGAACAACGAACTGTGTTAATCACCTATTCCGTATAGATGATCATTAAAGGGTTATAACAACAAATTAAATTGG